TATTAATTTAATTGAAAAAAACGATATAAACGTGTGTATTAATGACATAATTTTTTGAATAACATCTGTCGTTTAACATATATATTAGAAAAAGTAAGTTACTAAGAAAAGATATTATTATCTTTTTCGAGAATAGAAAATTAATAGCAGTACATAATATACATAGTTACCCATGAAAACACTAGACAAAAAAAAAATTATATAAAATTAATTTGTTTTTTTATCTTTTGAAAAGGTTAAAAAAAAAATGATAAATCCTGAGAATTAATCTTGTTTTAATATTTTAAGAGAGAATTATATACTACATTAATAAAATATTATTGTTCGTAATATTTATATAATTTAACTTCTACCCTATTAATAGTTCGTTAAATGCTAGTTCAAGGACTTTATTACAATAATGAATATAAAAATTAATAGAGAATATGTAGAGTTGCCTCTACTAATTTTATGAATTAAAATACAATTCTGATTCCAAATCATGCTTCTAATATGTATTTATTTATTTTAATAAAAATACCCATTTTTATTAAAAATTTATGTTTCTATTTAATGTTGATTTATAATTATTTTAATTTTTCTTACAATGTTATGAATAATGTTTCACAACTCATGTCCATTTTATTGAAGTTAGTAAACGAATTAATTAATGAAATATAAATTAAATTATATATATACTGCAAAATAAAAAAATTTTATTATCGTTAATATAAAATTTTCTTATATAAATTTTAATAAAATATACGAAATTTATACATAAATTCATTAAATTAGTAACTGTAACTCTACATGCTCTTTATTAATATTTTGTTTAGCACTCTAGCAAAGCCACCGAACATGCATTTAATAAACCACTATGATAATGGTATATAAAAGATGGCTTATGGAAAATTATTATAAATTATCGATATTAAAATAGGCATATATCAGACGATTTTTATATTTTACTTCATATAAAACGTTGATTAATAAAAAAAATTATTATTCTTTTTGTGAATAAAAATTGATGGCTAAATGAAAAATATACAGTTAATTATTTGATTTATTATTTTTCTGTTCTGTGACTTTGAAAGTATTGAACAATAAAATAAACAAAGAGAATATAAAGAAAGCTCTACTAATTTTATTTAAAATAAAATAAGTTATTACATAAATTATATATTTTTTGTGTGTTAATATTAAATTATAATACTATTGGTTATTAATTATTTATGTTAATTAATATTATACATTACAAATATAGTAATTAACATTACGCTTAATCTTTTACACAATAAAAAAAGTAAAACACACGATGTGATCAAAAAAAGAAAAAATTATTTCTTTTTTTGAAAAATAAAAAAAAATAAAAAAAAAAAAATCACCATTTTCTTTTTGGAATAAGAACTGTAAAACGTAAAAAAAATATAATATAATTTAATATTATATTCCTATATTTTATTTTTGATGCAATCATCTTCAATAAAGATACTTTTTTTTTTTTTTTAGTGTACACCTTTTTGTGTATGGGTTTTTAGATGCCCTCCTTCTTATCGTATATTTAGCATTCACAAATAATGATATCCTTGATTGTTTCATTTATTTAAATATCATTTAAAATAAACCTATAATACTATTTATAGAGAACCAATTCGATAAATGGTATTATAAAATTTTTTTTAATTTCGGTAAGAATAAATATAAGATATTTATTTATTAACTATTAAAAGACTTTTATAGCATTTTTAGTAGTCATATTAAAAGAGAGCATGTACAGAAATCATTATATATTTTGTTTATCAAAAAAGCACTTAAATAATTATATATATTAATTTATAATTACCTTTTTATTACAAAAGTAAAGAGATTCATACATAGATAATAATATACCATATATAAATTTATTTATTCATGGTAAAATTAACATATTTATTTTAATATTAATGGTCAACTAACATAATTACTAAAATTTTTAATTATAAAAATTAAAAGCAGTATGAAAAGCATATAGTTACCAAGTTATTTTATTAAATACTCCTTACCTTTATTAGTATTGATGAAAAAAGTTGATAAAGAGAATGTAGTGAAAGATTCACTTATTTTGTTTTAATTAAAATAAAACATTAAACATATTATATGCATTTGTTAATATAAAACATTAATTAGGTTATCAACTATTTTAGTTAATTTTCATAATATTTTAGATGTAATATACTTGGCGTTACACTTTTAATATTTCACATAATTATTTCAGAAAAAAATAAAATAATTTTTTTTATATATTATTGTAAGTAAACACAAAAAAAATATAACGAAACACATCAATATTTTTTTTTTATAGTATACATATTTTTTTGTATTTATTATTTTTTAATTTATGAATTTATAAATGCACATTTTCCCATTATTTAAACATGAACAAATAAAAATAACCTTACACACATTTTTAAATATTGTTAAAAATATGTTTAACATATTATTTATATCCCAATAATTAAAGATAGGCTTTACCTATGGTATTAGTTCGTAAAAAGGATGGCAGATTGGCAAGTACTATAGATAAATTGTATTTAAATAGTTATGTATAGAATGATTTATATGTTTTACCTAATAAGAAAGATATATTTCAGACATTTTATGGTGTTAAATGTTTTTCAAGATAGACCTTAAAAAAGGACATTGGGACTTAAAACTGGGTGAAAGTAATAATAAACACACAGAATTTATAGAACCCAAACATGAAAAATTTGTATTTAACATATTATCATTCGCATTCAAAGTTGGTCTTCTAAGTTACAAATAGTAATTAAAGATATATTCATGAATTTAATTTAAGCATACTTAAACCTTTTAAGGTACTAAAAAATGTATATGTATTACTTATTGGTAACAATTTAAAAATAAATACGAAAAAATGTGATTTATTAATCGTCTATTCGATGACCTTACTATTATTAAACAAACAAATTAATAAATAGCATGCAATCTATAAATTATATTATCAAACTGTTTTAAATAATATTTAATAAAATAAAATGAGTAAAAACATTTTATTTAGAGCATTATAAAATATATGAAAAATGTGAACATATAAATGTGTATATTAAAAAAAAAATATATATATATATTTGCACTAAAAATACGCTAAAAAAAAAAAAATAAACATATTTCTATAATATATTTTTTGTTTACTTACAATTACATATGAAAATATATTTTTTTCTTATTATTTATTTAAAAAAAATATGACATCTTAAAAAAAAATATTTTTTTATCTTTTAAGGACAAGATGGAGTGT